ACGGGACGGGACCGGGACAGCCCCTCCCCGAGCCGGGCCGGGCCGTCTCCGTCCAGGGCTCAGCCCGGCTCCCCCCCCTCTCTCCAGCGCAGGTCGTAACCTGAAGGAGTGGCTGCGGGAGCAGTTTTGCGACCACCCCATCGAGCACTGCGAGGACACCCGGCTGCACGACGCGGCCTACGTGGGGGACCTGCCCACCCTCAAGAGCTTGCTGCAGGAGGAGAGCTTCCAAAGGTGAGGGGGGCTGCGCGCACCCCGCCCTGCCCGCACCCTCACCCTGGCTTTGGAGACCCTCACGGGGACGAGGGTGCGGGGTCCCGCTTAAACGATTTTGGCTAACGAGTCCCTGGGGCTGCTTACCCCGCACCCATCTCCCCACGGCCTTTTGGAGGCCCCGTCCCACTCCGTTCCTGGCAGGAGAGGTGTCGGGTTGGGAGGATGCTCCTCTTGCCCCTGAAATTGTCCCCCGTGGTCTCCCAGGAGGCAAATCTCAAGCCAGTTTGCAAGCGTGCGGCAGCCACGCATGAGCTCTTTTCAGATCAGGGTGGAAATGTAATACCATGAAAATAGGAGCCTACGTATAATGGGAAAAACATGCAAAAGGGATTACAATCGAATATAAACCTGAAACATCCTATGTTACAAAATCTGCCCAGTGTCAGTCTGTGACCATGGGGATAGTTAATTAATTTTCCTGCACCGTGGAGAAAACTGCTTAGAGTGCAAAATGTCTCCCAGCCTCAAAAAAGGTGTCCTTTCAGCAAAACTGAGAATGAGCCAGCCCCTCTTTGTGCCACCTGGGCAGCTAGGGCTCTCAGGTCCCTTGCTCTGAGATATTTACCTTATTATTTTGCCGTGTGGGAACCCTGTGGTAGCAGGGCCAGGCATCCTTCCCTGCAGGAAAAATCTAAAGTTTGGCGAGAGGAGGAGGCTGGACCCACAGCACCATCGTACAGGTGGTGAAGTGAACAAAAAAGTGATTTCTTTGAATCTGGGGGTAGGTATGGGATGGAGATCCCCAAACCTCCAAGGTTAGAGAAAGCACTTTTATCACAAGACTTGACAGCTGAGGGCTTGATGTGAGTTTTATACTACTCCTCTTCCTAAAACATGGCTGAAAAAAAAATTGTGGCACTGTTCTTCTAGCAAACTCTGTAAATGCACTGTGTAAAAACTGCTTTGTCCTGTACTGGTTACGTGGGCCTACATGGAGTGAGCTAGAAGAGCAAATCCGCTGCTGCGCTGACTAAAGAGCACTTCGCCAGCCTACATTGGCCTTAAAGAAATCCCTTCCTCTCGGTGTGTTCCTGCTAAAATGGTACCTGCAGTGATTTGCAGAGAATTTGGGAGTGGGTTGTTGATGTTTATGAGGTTTGTAAGGCTAACCTGAGATCTGGATGAGCATGACAATACAGGTGATTTCAGAGGGGATCTAACCAGTTGCCACCCAAACCCATCTCTTCTATAAATTGGAAAAGGCTCTTATGCCAGTACAGCCGTCCAACAGGGTTGCTAATGGCCTACTTATGCTGTTCAGTGCAGGATGGCCACACCTCCCCAGCTTGCTCCTTGCTGGCAGGGCTGAGTTTCCCTGGATTTGTGTTTACGTCATCCCATGGTGCCTGGCTGAGTGTGGATGTTGCCAGTGGTGTGATACAGATGTACGTCTGCATTTCTGTACATTGCTCCCCTCCTCCCGTGTCCTCTTGCTGTTTCCCTGCTGCTTTGACAACCTTCTGCCCCTTTTGGAGCAGCTTGAATTAAGTAGTTGTGGTCCCCAGCTTGGTCACTTCTGACCTGGGACATCTCCGTGTTACAAGGGAGTATTTTATTCTTTTTATTGGTAATTTTGACTGAGCTTTGAGGCAGGGTTTGTCCCTCACTGTGAATATGTGCTGCTCCTGACACAGCAGAGCTGCAATAAAACCCATCTTCCAGGCACTACTCCGGTACATGCCACAGTCTCTGGCTACCTACGTGCAGTGCCTAGTCAGGTAACTGGCAGGAGCTTTTTAGGGCTGCTATGAAGTGTCAAAAATGGGGAGGAAAACTTGAAGGGAGCTGGTTGGGTTCTCCCAGCATCCTCCTCTGGGGCTGTGGGAGCTGGGGTGGTGCAAGGTGTCAGGAGGGCTTCTTGTGACCCAACGCTTCCTCCCTCTGATGCCAGCCGGATCAACGAGAAGTCGGTGTGGTGCTGTGGCTGGCTGCCCTGCACGCCACTGCGCATTGCTGCCACCGCCGGCCACGGCCCCTGCGTCGACTTCCTCCTCCGCAAAGGGGCCGAGATCGACTTGGTGGACGTGAAAGGGCAGACCGCCCTCTATGTGGCTGTGGTCAACGGGCACCTCGAGTGTGCCAAGATCCTCCTGGAAGCTGGGGCTGACCCCAACGGCAGCCGGCCCCACCGCAGCACCCCTGTCTACCATGCCGCACGCGTGGGCCGGGCAGACATCCTCCGGGAGCTGATCAGGTGAGAGCTTGGGTCCAGGCTGGAGTTGGTCCTGATGGGGAGATGGGTGGCTCTACTTCCCTCTCTTCTTCCCTTGGGATCTTTCCCCCATGGGTCTTGGAGCATCTGTTCCCTCCTCACATGCCCAGTGCCTCCACAGGCCTGGTGAAGCTGGCCAAGAGATGAACAGCAGAGAAGATGGGGAGGTGCCCAAAGGGACATCCTTGTCTTCCCCATTGCTTGGACCTGGCAACAGGTCTGTGCCCTGCTGTGTGACTCTCATGACTGTTCTAAGACGTCGCCCAAGAGAGGAGTCTCTGTTTCTGAGCCCACCATCCACTATTCAGTCAGAGCCAAATCCTGCAAAATAACCTCCCCCACCACTTCCAACTTGACTGCCAACTCCATACCCCTGGACGAATTTATTATGAGTGAGGTGAATCCCCCACTGAACCAAAAATTGTTTAGAAACACATCTCTCCCTTGTGTAGCTCTGCTGCTCTGGCCATTTTCTGTCATTGGGAGGAAAGATGCTTTTCTCTGGCACTGTCTGTACTTGGCTGCCTGGCATTTGCCTATCACTAGGACGCCCTCTGTGGTGTCTGATTCAGCCTCCCCTTTCCAGACACCTTATGCACAGCTCTATCAAAGGGGTGGCATCTCTGGGGCAGGGCATGATGGCCATCACTATGAGATGATGAACAGTAACCTTAGCTGGGTGGTGGGTGGCTGGTGACCTCCTCTCCCTCAGGAAGCTTCCTCTGCAGCACCAGCAGTCAGTGAGCTCAAGGTCTAGAAGCAGGCTGTGCAAACTTGACTTTTCTCCTCTGTGGCATGCCATGATACTTCCTTTCTTCTAAATTGGAAGCTTTTTGTATAAGGGACCGTGCTGAGCAACTATATTGACACCAAATGATAAAGGGATTGTAAGGGGAAAATGTAGGTTGTAGAAAGAAATAGTAAAAGAGAAGAAAGTTTTATTTGGATTCACACAGAAACGCTCTCCAAGAAATCCCTTCAATGACCGCAAATGCAAGAAAATAACAATGAAAAGGATTTCAACAGAAAAAATTCAAAATACTCCTTTTTGCTTTTGGGGAAGTTAATTTTCACACAAGTGCAGCTTTAAGGAAGCTGGCAAGTAGAAAGAAGGGGAGAAGGTTCCCCCTCCTTGCTCCTTTCTCAGTAAGCTGAGGGAAGGATGTCCTCATTGTCAGGCGCTTGTTGGTACAGGGTTCAGCTCACATGCTGCATTCCCCAGAATCTCCCCTGCTATATCTGCTAAGGCAGGGTGAAATGAAGCAAATGGTATTTCAGCAGCACATGGAGAGCCGATGCATTGATTTATGTGTCTACTCCTTGGGATACCTTGCCAGCAATATTAAAAGCAAGATTTTGGAAAACTTTCAGGATTAAAAATTAACTGGAGTTTGTCCAATCTCTTTTTATTAGACAATGTCTCTCCCAAGGCTGCTAAGCTAATACCAAATTGTCAGATTGCCCAAAATTTCAAATATCTCGGAGTATGGATTTCACAGATCTGTTCAGAGTTGCTTACTTTAAAATGCAGTCTTACGTTACAAAGCTCACTCAGAGATTTTAAAAATGTTGATTTAAAGGATTTGGCAGGGGGAATGCAATGAGGAAGACACATTTACTGAGATATAAGGAAATATTTCAGCATATTCAGCTTGAGAGAACCTCAGTGTCCTGAAAAGAAAGCCCAACCCAGTTCAGGCTTGCTGCAGGTGTCTAAACATCACCTGGTTCTTTCTTCTTTTTTAATCATATGGTAGCACAATCAGGATTCCTGAGTCCTACCACAATTGCTGAACCAGCTAACCAAGCAATAGGTGAAATTGTATCCATTAATAGTAAATACACACATAGCTGTGGAATGGTGGCTGGCGGAAATATTTATGCTTATATTGCCAGGGTGTAGATTACTCTCCTAACAGCTTGTGATGTGATCATGCTGTGATGGGATCGGACTGTTACATTATAAACCTCCAGCGTAACTAGGGGCTGACCCAGCGTATTAAGATTGAGATGATCCTTTTGCCACGCTAAAAACGGTGAAAAAGATCTGAGAAATCATCCCGATGCCTCAGGGACATGCCTTACTGTGACAAAAGCAGAATTTTGTATTTTGCTTTGAGTTGGAGGGGGACTGGTGGGTGAAGGAATCTTTTATCCATCTGTGGGGAGAAGGGACAAGGCTTTGCTTGATCTGTAGTGCTGCAACGAAACCCATTTACTCCTTAGGGGATTGCATTGTCTTCCTCCGTGTTCCTGTCCAAGCTACATGTGAAGTAGCTGGAGTTAGTGTCCCCACTGCTTGGGCGTTCCCCAGGCTAGGGGAAATACAAGCTTATTTCTGCCATCTCTTCTTTCTGTAGCATTGCCATTTTTCAAATTCCATGCTTTTCCAGATAGTGAGAGTTGGCCTTTTTGCTCCCATTTATTTGGCCACATTCTTCATTTCCTCCAAAAAAATGAAAAGAACCAAAGCCAGTAAGCCTTGTTTTCTGCTCATTCTCAACTTAATGCCGTCTGTACTTCCCAAAAAGAAGTATGCTGTGGGCTCTGCTTTTGTTTGATGACAAGACCGATGTCCACTGAGCAGGGCTTTAGCCGGCTCAGGTGCCTTCTCTACGCCACAGCAAGCTTGAGCCTGCTTTGCTCTGGCTGCAGAGCTTACGGAGCAGTTGGGACACCATGGCACCATGCTGCAAAGAAGTGAAGTACAGGTTTCTCTGTGGGGTAGAGTGAGGCAGGAGCCAGTTGCAAAAGGCTTGAGAGGTTTGCTGCTGCAGCTTGTTGAGCTCGCCCCTTCAGTGCCTGGAGTGCTGGCCAATGAACTGTAATATCTCGTGTGGTATCTGGTATAATATATAACCTGTGAATGGAGCTGTGCAGGATGGATGGGGAGAGCAGAAAGTCTGACGCAATTATTTTGTTTTTCCAGTTTCCTACACACTGAGAGCTGGCGGGTACGTCCCTTCGTCTGAGCTGAATGCTAGGGAGAAGGCCTCTTTTTGACTCCCTGGTGGGATTTCTGATGGGATTTCAACCACCCCAGCTCCTTCGGGAGCAGGATTTTGTCACACGTGTTTTGCTGTTGAGCACAGATTTTGGTTTCCATTTCCGTACTGTCTGTGTGACAGTCAGATCTATTGCCTGCATTGCTTTTTGGCTGTTTTATCCTGGTGGGGAAGTTATTTCACTGCATCTCTTCAACTGAGTAATTTGGAAGCATCCCCACTCCCCAGCTGGCTCATTAGCATCCAACATTATGTGTTGCTGGCTGAGGGCTGAGCCATCCCTTGTGCCAAGGCCATGTTTGGCACATCTTTCAGGAGGGCAAGGAAAGATGTTCCTCAGCTGCTCTCTCCCAAGCCTGGGCTGTTGCAGGCAGAGGAACAGCTTTGCTTCTTGAAGATCAGACCATGCTGGATATGGCATTCCCACTCAGAAGCCCTGCTAGGCCCCTCTGAGGGCAGTTCTTGGGTGATGGGCTCCAGAAGTACCAAAACCAGGCAGGGTGCTTACCCTCTGGGTGTCCTTCAGCCTCATCCCCTGCCATTTTGTCACCCTGGAGTGCAGTCGTGGTGCTGTTGCCCTTGCTTCCAGACCTCTGCTCTTCTCCCCCACCCAGGTATGGTGCAGATGTGGATGTGAATCACCACCTCACTTCCCGGGTCCCCAGCCTCTCCCTGCGGCCCCTCACCACGCTGGTGGTCTGCCCGCTGTACATCAGCGCTGCCTACCACAACCTCCAGTGCTTCCGGCTGCTGCTCCAGGCAGGAGCCAACCCAGATTTTAACTGCTGCGGGCCCATCAATATCCAAGGCTTCTCCCGGGGCTCCCCGGTGTGTGTGATGGATGCTGTCCTGCGACATGGCTGTGAAGCGGCATTCGTTCACCTCTTGATTGACTTTGGAGCCAATCTGAACCTGGTGAAAGTGGAGGCCTTGGGAGTTGAATCCACGGGAAGGGTCAAAGTCAACCCTGAGGCTCTGCAGGTGTTCAAAGAAGCAAGGGGTAAGTGGCTTTGACTTACTGAAGTGGTGCTGGTTTTATCTAGCTCTGGATTCAGGAGAATGCTTTGGAGAGTTTATTTGGTTGTTAGGAGCTGTTAAGGTGGTAGGTGAGTGTTACCATCCTCTTTTGGGTCTGTTTGTTCAAGTGCCTTCAGCCAAGTGCAAAAAGACTGTGTAAACAGGTTATACCTCTGTAAAGTGCATATAAAAGTGTAAAGCAATTCTAACATACAAAAAAGATAATTGGGATTTAGAAGCTGTTAAGCTAACTGCTAATGACTTCATCACCCCTGATATGGCTCCCAAAGATCTGTTGCTGGCCAGACAGGCATCAGGCAGGAGAGGACCGTGGGGCTGGCCTCTGCCGCTCCCTGGCACGGATCCGCAGTGTTGCCGAGCTGCTGGCTGCCTCCGGCTCTGTCAACACTGATGACTCAACCCAATGGCTTCCCTGTAAGCCTCCTGCTAGACTCCCCGTTTTTCTTCCATTGCATTTTGTACATTCACATGGTGTTTTCCCTCTTGAGTCCTTCAGCTACCAATGATGCCTATTTCAGCAGCCCAACCTCTGTCTGTAACTTTACCTTTTTTATGTTTCTCCCAGCTCTTTTCCATTGCCTAACCATGTCCTCGGCAGCCTGAAGTAAGGTTTAGGTGGCGGGGTCCTATCAGAGCTGAGCTTTGGGTCTTCAAGCCACAGGCAGGTTATGGCATATCCAGTGAGACCCAGTTCTCAAAAGCCGCACAGATGTGCCCTCAGAAGGTCTTGAGTGACCTTGTCCTCTGCGGGGGGTGGGGGGGGCAGGGAGAGACCCAAGAGGTAGTTTTATCTGGACAGGCTACTTGGTAAGTAAAGTCACAAATGATGGTAGCAGGTGGTGAAAAAAGGTGGGAAAAAGCTGGCTTTTTGAATTTAACATCCTCTGGAAAGCAAATGAATTACAAAAGAAGTAAACCAGAGCCTCAGACCTGAACATGCCTAAATTTACCTGCTATTGCTTTCTTTTTATAACGAAAGCAACATCAATACAGTCCGCACCCTTGTTCCAGCAAGGACAGCACCTTGTAAAACGACCAGGCTCAGCTGGTGAAGGCCAGGGCTTTGCACCAGGGTCACAAGTGGGGTTTCCCTCTTGAACTCTAGAGAAATTTGAAAGGGATTTAGGATGTGGAATACAGCCCCCAGCCCCAACCCCGAAGTTATTCAGCTTTGCACATGCCTGGTTTTTAAACCTGCCTGGACTTTTGCTGAGAAGAGGTGCACATAAACTGGAGCAGGTGGTTTCCATTAAACCTGGGTTTAGAAGGCAAATGGGACTCCTCAGGTAGAGCGTGCAGGATAATGGAGTGGTGCCTTGGAGGTCTTGTTCCTGAATCAACATGGACACCATCATCCTCTTGTCCCTGTGCTGGAAGAGCTCTCCATGAATGCAAAAGAAGCCCTCAAAAGAAAGTTGGGATAAGGCCTAAGCAAAAATAAAGTCCACATAATTTTAAAATGATCCGAGTAGTATAAAGCCTCTCACAGACTCCCCTGGTGTGGATTTGGCAGTGATCTCTTGAACCCTTTCATGCAGGGACTGGATCCATGGTCACAACCCCATGCAGTCTCCAGCTTGCCCATCCAAACTGCCCATGTGGCAGCTGTCATTGCTCCAAGTCTTTGGCCAAAAGGTTTGGCCTCCTCACAGGGAGGATTCGTGCATGCTCAGCTCTCCTGCGCTGCCTTGGTGTTGCTGTGCAGGATGTGGCCTCGGTGTTCGGAAGGGGTAAATGGCTCCTCAGCTGTCAGCCAGAGCTCAGCACAATTTATACGCTGTTATCCCTCTCTCTTCCTCTCTCTGTCCCTCAATAGTTTTTCTCTGCTTTCTTTACTGCAGGCCGCACCCGGAGCCTCTTGTCTCTCTGCCGCATAGCTGTACGAAGAATACTTGGCAAATCTCGTCTGGATCTGATCCATATCCTTCCAATCCCAGACCCTATTAAACAATTTTTACTTCATGAACACAGTTAAAGGGCAACTGGCTGCTTTCCGGGACAGTTTGATTTGGTAAATGAGTGCGCTGATAAAGCCAGGTGCCAATCCTAACCCTTCCCCCACAGTAGAATACTGTATTGCTCTTGGAGTGCACATAATTCCCTGCCCCTGTGATTTTTCCCCTCCAAATTTAGGGTGCAGTGATTTTCTGTGTCTATTCTTAAGCTACCGGTTATCTAACTGGTGATCTCTTGTTTGCAACTGGTTGGGTGACAAGGCCAATAAGCGTGTGTGGCTGTTACATGAGCAAAACCAATATATCCTATAGTTGTTAGCATATTTCTGTTTGTTATGACTCTACCTCTGTTATTGCTCTGTGTTACACACAACTTGGGTCTCAGTGGCACTTCTGCGTGGGGAAGTGTCCGGATTTAAGCCTTTCCTCTTCCTATAGCATACAAGGGAGTCTCTCCTCGCTTTGTAAGGGTTTTACAACAGCACTGTTCTCTTTCTGCCATTGGTACCTGGCCTTTCTCTTCCCTATGGAGTTTGTGATTGCTGCTGTAAAAGTGGGTGTATTTTCATCTGTCCTTTTCTGGTGTAAAATGCATCAAGTTTCCTGTCCAGTGCCACGTGTTACTTGGAGAATTGCATCCGTGTCGCTACGTGCTGCAAGGTAGCTGCTGACTTGGCTTTCTTCGTGTAGAGGCCCCATCACACAGATGGGAGAGTAGCAGAATACATAATGCTATCCTGTCTGAGTCGTTTCTACAGAGCACCAGATCTGCTGTGGCAGCTTGGCTCTCCCTCCAGCACTGTAATGGACAAGGCAGAGGCTGTCCATTCCTCCTCCCAACTGCCTGGGACTGGGTGAAGTTTTATGACCACTACTGTAGCACGAATGACAAAACGTGGAGAGAAGAGGAAAAGGTAGTTTCACCTCTGGAAACTGATAGCTACACAGCCTGTTGTGGGGATGTGATCCCTGTGGTTCAGTTGCCACTGCAGTGGTGGTGAGACAAGGACTGTGATACTCGGATGAAGCCAGCACGTGAACCCGAAAGATTTCTAGGGTACTTTTTTGGAAAAGCAATGGCTAAATTAATCTGTTCACTGTAAAATGGGTTTGAATATTTGAGAGTGACCAGAAGCAACAGTGGACGGGTTGCTAAATTAAACTGTTGTGTTGCTGTGCTGGGTGGTAGTTGATGCAGTGCCTGTGAATATATTTGTGTGATTATGAAGAAAAATACACCAAAATGATCTCTAGGCTGCCTGTTTGCCATATTGCAGTGATTGCAATGTTATTGAAGGCCCAGTAAAGTAGCTGACAATGCACAGCACACAGAAGTTTCCTACCTACCTTGTACTTTGTATCTCATGGTGGTAGTGTGACTAGAGAAAACCCTCCCAGATCCACTTAACAGGTCTCTTTTTTTGCATACAGCTTCTACCAGCATTGTGGAAAAGGGAGAAGAAAAGACTTTCTGTCTTTTCTTGAAGAGTTAGGAGGTTATGTGCTTCTAAATGCAGTGTTGCATCCAACAGCCTGGGCTCCTTTGATTTCCAGTGCCTCTACATTGCTGTTTACCTTCATGTCACAAGCTCACAGAAGAGTGTCACTCTGCAGTGAGTTGACAGCCTTTCGTCGGGATCTCAGGGTCAGCCAGCTCCTTAAAGGTAGCAACATAATCATTGTGTAGGAAACATTGTCAAAATAGCAACTTTAGAAGGACGGAGGTGATGGTCCCTCAGGATCTTGGGTAAAAACTCAGGTGATAATTGGTACTTGCTTTTACTTACTGATTCAAGTTCTTTCTAGTCCTCGTGTTATAAGCTGATTTTTTGGACAGTTTTTCTTCACCAGATATTCTTCCCGTGCTCATGCAGTTGGCAGGGGTATTTTTCCAGATGTGATCCTAAAGATGTTGGGGATTTATTTATTGTATGGTGCCTAGGGACCTGTTGTTGAGAGCTGAGTTAAGCATGGGATGGCAAGGACAGTAAGACTGTCCTTTAAGCTACCTTGCATTTCAGTTTCAAATGCCTTTGGCCAACAGCCCTGGTTATCCTGCCTCTATAGGAGCAGATCCTCAAAGCTGCCACATACATTTGCGCCATGGATTTGCCCCATAGGTCTGACGCTAGTTACGAAATGCTCGTTTTCCAGAGGTGTAAGTGAATGCAAAATCACAGTTCAGTTACTGGTCCTCCCACTAAGGGATGTGTTTAGGGTGGAGTTCGATAAGCAACAATGGACTTTTTTATATGTTTTATTATCTGCTGAAGAACTCGTGCCTTTCCAAGATGCTTTCAGACAAGGAGGAAGGGTGGGAAAAATGCAGTCCCTGATTGTTTCCTTTTCAGTTCCATGGCCAGGCCTGGAAGGTCCAGCTGGCCCCTTACATTGTTCTGCTCACTGATTTTAGGATAAGGTGGCAAAATTGCACTGCTGAGAACAGGCTAAAGTGTGGTGGTTACGCTCAGCGCTCAGATACCAAAGCAAAGGATACTTTCAAAACCCTCATCAGGTGACATATAATGTCAAGATTATGTATCTGTAGGCATGCTTTCAAGGTGAGAAGGCAGCAGTTTTGCACTGTTTCCTTTTCAGGCTTGCAGATGGTTTAGGTTTTCACCATGCTGGAGGCCAGGGCAGCCCATGAGCATGTTGTCTGAGAGTTGTGCGCTTGCTTTATAGAAGTGTTAACATGTCTGAAAGATGCAAACAGGTTGTAAAGCCTCTTGTCACCTTGCTGGTGGAACCATAATGTTTTGCAGGAGCACGGGCCGAACATACTCTCTAGCTCCAGTGTAGAGGCAGAAAATGAGGGAGGTTGTCTTGAGAAAATGCCATGGCAACAGTTTATTTGGGTCGAGTTTCTCCCCCTTGATTTTTGCTTGTTCAGGCAGTTTTGCAAACCAGTCACACATCAGTGCCTTTTGGGAGAAGGTAGTAGGGTGAATGTGAAGGCATATGCTCCTCTGGGGTGAGCTGGCTCCACCTGGAATGAGCCACGGTGTGAAGAATTGGAGAATTTAGTTCTTATGGGCGTGATTAAAACAGTGCCGATGTAACTCGAGTATCTAGTTAAAGCTAAGACTCTACAGATGACCTGTTACAATTTTCATTATAGCTGCGTTCAGTATTTGATTTGTTGACTGTTGTGCCCTTGACTGACACTGTCCTACAACATGCTTATGGATAGTCAGCCAGTGGCACCCTGACCAGTCTTGCAACTATGCTCCCTCCCAGAACCATAACTCCCATGTGGGTGAAATGGAGAAGAGCACCCTCTTCCCATGCACAGAGTCAATACCTGGTACTGATATGATGCCTTTGTAGGTCCCACTGGTAAGCACAAGCCATGCTGGGAGTGGGGACTTTGACCTCTGTTAGTTTACCATTCTTAATTTATAATTTGGGATACGATGGCGCTCCAGCAGTGTGCTGAACTTTGTATGTATGGGAGTTCTTTTGACCTCAAGCTTGAAGGATTGCATGGGTCTTCAAATCCAACTGATGTGGAGTCCAAAGGATTCCCCCGACCACGGATATCTCCAGCCTTTGATCCACAGGTCAAAGGATGGTTCTTCCAACCCAATAGCAAACAAGCTTGAAGTTCATCAGTCACTTGGACATTTGCAGAATCAAAGCTGTGAAGTGCAGGAGGCATTTCACCGACACTACCCATCCAACTCCTGCCTTCACTGAGGGACTGTGCCTCCTGCAAAGGTCTCAGTGTTAAACCTGGATGGTCTGTCTTTTGGCTTGAGGGCCTGAAGGGAGTCCAGCTCAGGGGGACAACTCACATAATACTAAGTTGTAAGTACAAAGACTACTGTTAGAGTAAGTCCCTGTGGACATCGGTTGTTGAGGGTACATAAACCCAGCTTTTTAAGTGAAGTAGTTAATATGCAGACTTAAAAGATCTGGAATTTTAATTGCAGAGAGATAATAATGAATCTCAAAATAGATTCATGATATTCATAGATCTTGGGTGTCCTGTTCTGTAGGGCCAAAACTTATATCCTCTGTCTGTCCCTGCCCTTTAAACCCAAGAAACAACGGTCTTCCAGTATGAAATCTGAGTAACATGTGCATATTATGTATTTTCACAGTATATAAACAGCATTTATTTTTGCCTTAACTCAGACTTTGGCATTTCCTCCTATGTAGCAAAGCATTCTCTTTTGTAAAGGTATTCTTTTCCATGTTGTCCATGGGGCATGCTCAGATGACCTGAGTAACAAATGCGTATCGTGAAGTCATGGGTGGGAAATTAAACAGTTCTACTGTCTACCTCCCCTGTATTGAAGAATGCCTTTTATATTTGTGCATAATACATAAAGTGTGTATTGTGTGGCCTTACTGTAAGCCTGGGTGGGATAGAATCACAAGATTTGGAAAAGGTTTAAGGAACCAAGACAGATCTGGAATAAGCAAAGCAGATCCAAAGCAGTCTTTTTCAGGTGGGCTTTCTTCTCTTTGTTGCTGTAGGGGATTTCCAGAGCACAAAATGCTGGTGCCCAAATACAATTTCCTGCTCTTTGGAAGTTTTGCAAAAGGCAGAGGAACAGCATCTGTTGGGTTGAAGTGGTTTTTTTTTCCCCATCCCCAAAGTCAAGTAAAGCACTTTTTACACCAAAACCAGCCTTTGAGGTACAGCATCTCTAGCCCTTCCTGTCCCAGCAAAGAAAGCAGTGTAAGAACCTGCACAGGACAGAGTAGAGGTGGCACAGTCCCACTTCAATTAGAGCTAATCAGTGATCTGTTAATTTTGCCTGGTGTAAAATGATTGTGCACAGCAGCAAGATCAGATCTGAGAGCAGATAGGAGGTATCTGTGGTGGGCCTGGATCCACATGTAGCTGAATAAAGATGTTCCAGTACAAGAGTATGGCTGTCTGCCTAATTATTTACCTCACCATGGGAAGGGGACATACTCCTCTGTGCAGCAAAGAGCAGGGACTGGATTTGCAAAAGCCTGAATCCTGCTGGCCTCGGCTTGGAGGCTGTGGCTGACTCTTCTGCATGTTTTGCAGCCACTGGAGGGGGCCGGAGAACCGTGCTGCCTGCAAGGGGGT